TATCATTAGTAAATGAGGGCGTTCTAACCAATCTTTGGTTTAGGCACATAGAATTTCAATGAGACTTATATACTTGATAATTTTGGATGGTAAATTATACTCGTGTGGTAATTTACACTCGTGTATGTAAGGATCTAACTTTTGATAATATTAAGGAAGATTATGGTTTATATTATTATTGTCAAATTTATTTCTTGTGAAGGTGGGTTCTCTTGTGCACCTGCAGCCGTGGCTCCAATGGTAGGGTGTGTCTTAGATCATGGATACAACCATGGTTCAAATTTTTGTGACGTAATCCCCCTTCCCCTAATTTCCTAATGTTTAAAAAGAAAAAAAAAAGAAGGCAGGTTCTCTAGCTATTTGTTCTCAAATTTGGAATTTGTTTCATTTAATGACAAAGATTACTATCCTTATAAATTATCTTCCACTTGCAACGATGGGGAATTGCTGTCATTAGAAATAATAGATTGGTATATTTTGTCATTTAAATTGAGAATTATTTGGCATTCAACAACCGGAATTACCCTTGTAATAAACTAATTTAGTGGAGATAAAGATGATACTTAAAGCATGGGATGGTGTGTTACTTTCTATGGTTATGAGGGATGTTATTACGGCCACTTATATTTTGTTTTTTATTTTGTTAAATTACTTATTTAACACACTCAATTTAAGAAAATACATATTTTTCAACTCTATCTCCATGACTTTTGTCCTTCCTTGAGTGGGTAAAAGAGTAATTTAAAGAAATAAAAAGTAAAATATTGATGGCCATAACGGTATCTTTGGGGAACAATAAAAATTTCTAACCACTTAACTTGTAGTGACGGATCAGGACATGCCGTCAAATCACTATTTATCTTTAAAGGACTAGAATAAGAGCTTTTAACAACAGAATATACCCTCGTTAAAATGTAATTTTGTTGTAATTATATGTTGTAAAAACACATAAAAGTAGAAGTGTCTTTTGTTTAGAGTTATAAAATATATAAAACCTAAAACTGAAAACTCACGACTACGACTAGACTAAACGAAACTTTAGCTAGTGTTGTTAAATTTTTAGTGAACAAAATTAAAAGCCAAA